CTTGTGCACACGTCTGGACGGAGCGACGGCAGCGCTTCAGTCTGGTCTTTTCTCTCTGGAGGATTCTATCGATCCCTCGGTCAATGTGATTGTTGAGAGAGCAGCGGACAGGGCAGGCTGGAGGCTGGACAACAGACAAACAATACCACAGGGAGGAGCTTTTCTTCTTGTGGCTGCCCGGTGGCGAGGTTGTGTCCATTAATACTAAGTAGTTCCTACACATACACACACACACACACACACACACAGTGACATGAAGAGGTGGAAGAGCTGCAGAGTTTAAATAGACTGTTTGTACAAGAACTGATCAATGTCGTCAGCGTACGAGGGAAATGTGAGAATACATTAAGTCTACGATTCCTGATTTTGATTTGTGTGCAGAGGAAAGCTAACGCAGGGTTGCGTGAACACTGACTCACGTTAAAGATCACGGTTTCTTTGAATGTCTCCCTCTGTTCATCTTCCGGAGGGCGACTTCGCTGATTTCATTTGTTTTCATTGTCCCTGTCGAGCTGGAACCAGGTCTGATGCTGTCAAACTGCTGTTAACACTAACTGGAGAAGCCGAGGCTGCAGAGTCTGCATAAGTGAGGCTTAGCTGTGGTTCACCATCAGGTCACAAATTGTTGGGGAAACAAAAATTTGACACAGCACCAGCAGAGCAGTGGAAGGCTTTGTGAAAATCACCAAGCCGAGCTGTGGTTAGACACGTCGTCCATCTTCATTCACCATCCTGATGGGTCCCGTTGGGTTTGTTTTGGGTGTCGACTGTCGAGACCTGTAATGTTTTACTTTAATCACATTTTAATCAATGCACAAAATTTGTAATCATCACATGACGTAAAATGTGTAATCATACCATCGCCGTGACTTTGTGGCAAGGACGCTGCTCAAGTTGTAATCGTGGAAAAATGCTGCAGTTCAATGAGCTGCTTTACATAAAGGCTTCTTCTCTGTTCTCGTGGTGACATCAGCTGTATTGATGTTGAGCTCAGACCAGAGGCAGCGGAGCAGAGGAAAGGATCCGAGCTTCAATATCACTGCTGTGATTCAAAAAAAAGAAAAAACCTCAATACTAAAGCCTGAGCGGTCGCTGGAGTCAGGACGAACACACACACACACACACACACACACACACACACACACACGGTCTCATATCCAATAGAGACAATGGAGCAGATTCTGTTGATTTAAGGTGTTTGTGCTCTGTGTCGTTTTATCCGTCCACAGTCTCACCCTTTGTTTCCCAGTGTCTCTCTCTCCCTTCTCTCTTTTCTCTTAATCTAATTTCGCTTGTTTTCTCAAACAACACAAACACACAAGTCGTACAAAGACACACACACACACACACAAAAAAATACATATTCAAATCCTGGAGGAGACTTTTAGCATCCGGGAAAACCTTTGACCATATCTAAATATTTGCTGAATTGAAGGTAAAAAACAAATGACTGTGTGTTTCTTGAGGGATTTGATGGACAGAAACAAATATTAATAAAGTCAATAACAACTTCACCACTTCTTTTACACTAAATGCCTATTTTTGACATTTTTAGCCATGTAAAGGTCAACGAATGCGTTTTTTTTCCGTCAATGTCCAAAGTCGTAAAATGTTGCTGCTTTTAAAATGAGAACTGTGCAGCTGTTTTAACTGCTGAGCACATTTCTACGCTCCGTAAAATGTTTTACGGCTTCACCCACGTTCTTTCTAAGGCGGCGGGGACAAATCCTGCGAGCTGCAGCGAAGTGACACTTTCAGGTGGAAGCTTTTCGTCAGTGAACAGGTCACCTGTTTATCCTGACTTAACCTGCCAGCTGCAGAGACGAGGCTCACTTAAAAACCCATGTGACGGTAACTCCGGCAGGTTCAACAGCAGCGTGTCTAACGCGGAGCATCAAAGTGAATCCTCTCGCCGAAGAGTTTGGGAGAATAAAGCTCCGCATTAATCTCACTTTGTCTTTTGCATGCTAAGTGCAGGCTGCTAGAAACACTGGAGTCGAGCAGAGACGCACTGATCCTGGAACACGGATAATAATTCAGAGAGGATGAAAAAAATCGGACTCCCTGTTGTGAGGACATACGTGAGCCACATCATCCAAAGAGCAGGTTTCTGCTCCTCAGACAACTGGAGCCAACTAATCTTTATTTATCACACAGGAGGCTGATAAATCATCTGAGCTGCGAGACGAGATGGGGATTAAAAATTTAACACCTCTCAAAGTCAGTTACTGGCATGAAAATAATATTCTACCCTTCTATCCATCAAAGATAAATTCATAAATACACAAAGTTGAGATTTTTATTTCCCAAATGAGATTATAGTTTCAGATTAAACCCTTGAACTTCATGTCCGATTTAATCTGTCTGCTAATACTCTGAGCACAGTTTGGACGTTATGACTGAAATCCTGTTACATGATGTCGGAGCCTGTTTCAGTTCCCTCAGCTCTGCACATCACATCTGTGAATGACTGAAGGTCATGATGTGTTTCCACTGACGGTTTAAAGTCCGACACTACGGTTATATTATTTAAATCTGGGTTATAATTAATTTAATCTCAATCCTGCACTGATTAAACCTGTAGATTCCATGATACAATATTTTACTGTTTCGTTTTTACAGTTTTAAGAAGGGGGACGAGGTCTTTGTCCTGAATTTGAACCTGCTCTCGGAGCCAAAGTCCTGACTGGTCGAACGTCTCGGGGGAATAAAAACCTCAGCTGTTCATAATTTGAGGGGAAATCAAGGCTTTTATTTAGTTAAATCCAAAGTATGATGTCCAACATTTAAAGGATCAAAAACTAAAACACAGATTCTCCTCTGCCTTCATCTTGAAAGACTTCCAAACCGATGAGAGCTGCGTTTCTATGAGAGAAAATACAAGAAGACAAGAAGCAACAGAACTCTGATACAGTTAATGTCGCAGACGAAAAGAGACGTGAGAAATAAACCTGCGGCTGTGTGAAGAGAAAGAAGCCGTTCGAGGACAGAACGAGCTGGAGAGGGTTTCTGTCAGAGTCGAGCTGAGTGGAGACAGAATAGAGTGATTCTCCGACATCAGAGTCATCATCTGCTGACGCGTGTGTGTGTGTGTGCGTGTGTGTGTGTGAGATTACTCTAAAACCTCCGGCAGTGTGCGGTGATGATGACACAGCTTGTGAACTGAAGTTGCCACCGTTCTGTGCTGAGTTGCAGAGTGTGTGTGTGTGTATGTGTGTGTATGTGTGTGTGCGAGAAAGCATGTGAGTGTTTGGGAGGGCGGAGCATCAGACGGCCATCTGTTCAGTGTGAGTTAATCCTGCTATGATGAGAGTGAGAGCAAGGGCAACAACCACAACCACACACACACACACACACAGTTTGATATACATGAATCATTTCACCTCCACGCTGCCCGAGGCTTCTGTGGTTTCAGAGCGATCACAAAGGTCTGTTCTTGTGACGTCATCATCGTGGGACTGAAGCTGTTTATCTGACACCACGGCTCCCAAAAGTGAAGCCGAATCATCTGGAATGCCCCCTGGTGGCAGGCTGCAAAAACAAAAATATTTAGGTATAAGTAGACGTTAAATGTTTGACAAAGATGGTTTCTGTAATTTTAGGCGGTCTGGAAAATAATCTGCCAGTGCTTGAGATCTGTATTAATGAAATTAACAGTTTGGACACATTTACTCAAAGTCCGTCTTTTTCTGTAAATCGAACGCCCCTGCATGAAATTCACAACCTCACGTCTGTGTAGATTAACATTGAGTCTATTCCCTAAGAGACGTCTGTGGCCCCTGGTCGACAGACCTCATCTCTCAGACTCGCCTGTTGAGTCCTCGAGAGCTGAGATTCAGTCACACTCAAGAGGATCGATCGTCATTTGGCTCTGTGTGTGTGTGTGTGTGTGTGTGTCAGACACACTCACCATTTACTTTGTCAGTTGGACACTAATCAGATTGTGTTTGCTGCAGTCTCCGTCCATCACAGGTTAATTATTGAAGTGTTGACTTCTTCATAACAGAACTTTCCTCTCTGCAGTTTGATTTTAAAACATCTTCTTTCCTGTTGAATATAAACTGATGTGTCTGATAGTCAGTGTTGGTGCAGACTCTTGTTTATCCATGAACATGAACTCAAGCTGAAGTGATAAAACATTAAACACTCTGCAGAGAGACACAGGTTTATTATCCCTGTGTGTGTGTGTGTGTGTGTGTGTGGTCCGGATCATAGCTCATCTCCCTCTCTTTGTTTTCTTTCTCATTCACTCTTTCTGTTCCCATCTCAACCTCATTGCGTCTCTTAGTCTCTCCCAAAAGGCAAACACACATTATTTTTCTTCCATCCACCCACAAAGAGCCTCATCCCCCTCTCTCGCTTCCAAACTGTTTTCACACAAATGATTTCATCACTAAAGCATGCGCTCGCTCTGGCTCCCTCTGTGTTTTCATGTGTGTGTCTGTGTGTGTGTGTGTGTTTGTATACATGTGCACGTGGTGGGTGGGTGTGTCCACAGTGTTGGGCCTGATTATTTGTGTCTGGTTGTTTTTCCATGTTCTCCTGTAACTCTCAGTCCTGTTTGGTGTTGCAGGAGATAAATAAAGTCACACACACACACACACAGTCACACACACACACACACACCTGGTGATAACAGCGTCTGAGCCTGAGGGCGAACAGTCATTTTGTCACATCCCGTCACTTTGTGCCAGGTGGGCAGAGCCTCATTTCCAGTGCAGCTGAGCTCGGCATCACCTGAGGCTGTTGTTGTGCTCGGCTGCGTCTTTTTTTCCACCTGTTTTTTTTTGTGGCACTTGAAAACATGACAACAACGCAACAAACAGCCCCATTACACCCTGATACCCAGATAAGATGCTCCACCTCGTACTGTGTGTGCACAGTGAGAAAACATACGGACAGAAACAGAGGGAAATAAGCTGTTAAATGTTAAGAACACACAAAATGATGCTAATCAATAAGAGAGCTGTGCTAGAGAAGCAGCTCAGTTCCCATGAGTCCCGTATTTCTAATAAAGAAAGAGGTCGTGTTGTCGCCTCCCTGATTCGTTTTGCATCCAAACTTGAATCCGACTGACCTTTGACCCCACTATACGGTACACTGCTCCGCTGGTGCCTCGGTCAGGTCAGCTGTGGAGAAGAATGGACGAGGATGAAAAAACATTTCTGTGCGACAGATCTTCTTTTCTGGGGGGGGATTATGTAACTCTGCTCCCCCACCTCACCAGGGCATGGGGGAGAGAAACAGGATTTACATTCCGACGTACAGTAATCCGTAGCATCCTCGTTAGCGCCGGTGTAAGGCCGAGTAATGTTTTACATAATGCTCTTCATCACACGCTCTTCCTCACGCTCGCTTTGTGTCATTATCATCTGTAAGTTTAGTTTCTGTTCTGAATGTTGGTGTGAATGTGTGTCAGAGTGCATTCAGGGCTTAGCAGGCCTGTGTGGGTGTGGTGTGGGGATTTTATGTGTGTGTGTGTGTGTGTGTGTGCATGGATGTGTGCCGAGTATAGGAAACCATCCCATAATATGACAGAGAGGCTGACAACATGGGATAGTGATTGCAGTCGGCATGGCAGCGCTCTGCAGCCCGTCAACACACAATAATGTTTTAATGCGGACCACATGTGATGAGGCTTAGCATAGGGGCGGACAAATGCTACACACACACACACACACAGACACACACAGACGGACACACACACAGACACACACTCCTACTTTACCAGCAGGCTGTTGGATTAATGTCGATCCGACCAAAATATAAAAACAAACAAAATAGAAATACAGAGATTTTTCGTAATAAAAAAAGCAAAAACAAAAAGCTTTTAAAATGTTCTTCAATCCATCAGGAGGGGAAACATGCTCGGTTCTGATCCTTCAGTCTGACGATGGGTTTGAACCTCACACTGTACAACCGACATCTTTCTGCAGCGAACTAATGCTCCACGTTCCACTGGGACTCAATTTCCTCTTCTGGGTGTTGGATTTCAAAATTCACCAGGGATTGTTCCCACACCCTCGAAACTTTCCAAAACACTCTCCGAACACCCGGAGCCGCTTGGCCCGTCACCTCTGAGATGTTGTTCTTCGGTCAGCGGTGGAGAACCAGCCTCCAGGCGGAATATGACCCATGAGACAGTTTGAGGTGCAGTTATGAAGAGAAATCGTGAAACAGTAGAGTAACGTTTATTTCCGGGGTCGTGCACTCTGGCTGTTTGTCAGGTCACGGGGGCGACTGTGGTCCGGAGGGTCGTCCACTAACTAGAGGGTCGGTGGTTCGATCCCCAGCACCTTCAGTCTTCATTGTGAGCGTGAACGGATGAATGAATGTCTTGTTTCTTGTTGGACTCTGGTTTGATGATTCAGACGACGTAGAAAATACACTCAACTAGTTATTGTCGTGTGAATAAAGAGATGAAACATTTAAAATAAATAAATTAAATTAACATGTGTTGAGAAACAAAAGCACACAAACAGAAGTAATTTGACAGATGGACCGTATCAACAGTAATCGTGGGATTATTCAAGATTGAAACGCTTCGACCGACCAAAACATTTACCACAGAATGTTGTGAGTCATCATCATCACTCCCATCTGACGTCATCTCATTACTAAGAGAGGTCAGTTCAAAACAGTTCAAATGGCAAAAACGTTCCCCACTTGTGTCCTGAACGAACCTGTTAGGGATCAAACCCACGTCCTCAATATTTGTCAGAGCCTCTGAGTGTTTACTGCACTTAACAATTCAGCACAGCACCTGAGGATTAAAGCAGGATTTCAAACATTCAAAATGCTCCAGCACCCGCAGCTGTTTCGACCGTTTGACGCACCTGAGTTAAATTTCTTCTGCATCGCAGTGACTGAACGTCCTCCGACCTCCAGCGAGTAGGAGGGAGGCGGTAAAGCTCTGGAAAGTAATGATGCAGGAGAGTTTTGTGAGTTGCGTCGGCCCTGAGTCAGTGTCGACTCTCGGCCACGGGACCTGAACTGGAGCAGGAAGTTAGAGAAGAGAGGACGGGGATGGGGAAGATGAAAGTGGAAGAAGAAAGAGTCAGAGCGAGGTGAGAAACCGTCCATCCTCCTCCGCTATCACACACAGCGGCTGCATATCGATGCAGACATCCATACACATGAGATGACTTTACCCGTCTGCCTCAGTGGGATGTGAAAGTCATATTCAAATAGTCCTCCTCCTCGTGTTTGAGTAAACAGCTGCTCCTCCTCCTCCCTCATCTTCTCTCTCTCTCCTTTTTCAATAATTAAATAAACAAATCCTCGTTGGTTAAAGTTAAAGCTTCACGATGGAGTGTGAGTTCGTAACAAGCAACTTTCCCCGGATGCTTTCCTGACAGAGACGCGGTTACAGTTACATGATTTGCAGTGAGCGAAGGAAAAACCTAAATATCAGAGGAAGAGTTTGTAACGAGCTTCGTTGCCTCTGCAGAGAATCAAAATAAAATAGTTCTGAAGCGTCAGTTTGTCTTGAAGAGTCTCTGCGGAGATGATTATTGACCTTGCAGAAAATATTTTTAAAAAACACACAATGGACAAAGCAAAGTAAGTTTGTGTTAAAATCTCCGGCCTGCGACATTAAAATACATCTAACTAGTCATGTTTGTGTTGGATCACTGCACAGTTGGTGTATTTATGAACGTTTCTGTGGTGGAACAGTGAGTAAATACTAATTTCACTGAGATTTCTAAATAAATAATATATCTATTATCAATAAAAGTACCACATCACATCCACATAACATCAAATGTAAATGTCCAACATTAACTGAACTTTTCCTTCCTCCCCCCCGTCTTCCATTTCCTTTCCTCTTTTCTTTACCTCTTCTCATTTTATCCATTTGATTATATTCTTTCCTCTTTTCTTTCTTCTTTCCCCCCATTTTACTAATTTGTTGTTTTTTTTACTTGTCCCTTTCCTCTTCCCTTCCTCTTGTTTGCTCCTGTTCTGTTTGGATGTGCCATGTTCCTATTAGCTTCGTTTTGACCTTATGTGAGGCGCAGGAGCCGTATGAGGTTTTTGTGTGTCTGTGTGTGTGAGTGTGTGTGTGAGTGAGAGAGTAGGAAAGAGAGAGAGATGTTGGTGGGGGCTGGCGATGAATGATGTGCTTGTGTGAAAGCCATTGGACCGCGACTATACTGTAGGTGATAGAGACCCAGTAACATCAATCACACACACACACACACACACACACACACACACACACACACACACACACACACACACACACACACACGTCTCTCTGCCCTCGTTATTCCCAGTAGTCGGGCTTTTCTTGATTTTTAATAAAGGATATCTGCAGAGAAGGTCAAGGTTATTCAATTGTTGGTCATTCATCTCCTCTTTGTGCGCTCCCTCAACACACACACACACACAGATGCATGAATGCACACACACACACACACACACA